CGGACCTCGTCTCCTCCAGCTCACTTTCCCGGTGAGCTCACCGGTCATGGGCCTTCCGGTTTCTCTCAGCAGAGCTGCGTGAACTCGACTCACTTGCCACTGCCTCAGCATCATGAAGGTCTAGAAGGCGTGGCAAACTTCACCTATCCGAAATGGAGCCCACGACCTACCACTCCGAACCCTACGACTCCGTCTCTCCAGTGGCTCAAGCAGAAATCCAGAAAACATCTTTGATTCTTCTCTTATACCCAAATCCAGCCCATCAGCATGGCCTGGCCTGCTTTACCTCTGCCCCATGTCCAGATGCTGACCCACTGCGCCCCGAGTCACCATCACCCCACCTTCTCACTGACCTCCTCCTCTGTCCTTTTCTCCTTTGTTAACGACAACACAGGGGCCAAGACAACCCGTCCAGCCCAAGTCAGATCCCACCCCTCTCCTGCTCCAAATCCTCCAACGATGTCCCTTCTCAGAGTAAAAGCCCAGGCCTGTGAGGCCTCCAGTCCCCAGCTTTTCAACCTTTCTCCCCTCATCCTCTCACACTCTGTTCCTCACACAGACCCCAGGCTCAGGGCCCGCTGCTCCCTTACCTCCTTCTGAGCTCTGCTCCCAGTCACCTCAGGGAAACCCCCCCTGACCCCGCAGTGAGAATGTCAGGGCTCCTCTGCAGACTTCTCTTGCCGCCTGCCCTGCCTGCCTGATAGTTTCTCACCAGCTCTCAGCACGCCTTGAGCCGCTACACACATACTTACTTCTCTTACCATCTGTCTTCCCCCTTTAGCATCTGCTCCACGAGGGCCAGGACGGCCGAGCGCTAGGAACAGGGACTGGTATGTAATGGCCGCTGAATGAACATGGGGTTGCCCTCCCAGCCTCACAGGGCTACCGGCAGAACCGAATGACACAACCAGCCAACATGCCCTTGATACACTCCTCCTATACCCTAGGTATTCAGGACTGTGCACGCAGCTCAAGACACCTCCTCCAAGAAGACCTCCAGAGCCTCCAACCCAGCCAGGTTCCTTGGCACACATCCCTTTCCTCCCTCTCCAGCACTTAAAACAGCTGTACTACAACAGTTCTGTACGAGTCATTGTTTCCTCTCTCCCTCCGCTAGAGTATAAATGGCTTAGTCCCAGCTACGTCCACAGGCCTGGAACAGTGGTCAGGACAGCAAAGCACAGGTCTGTAAAGAACAAGGGGTCTGGAGGCTGCCTGGGGCCCATCCTGACACTACCTCTTAACCAACTGTGTTAACCCCTCAGTGTTCCCATCTATAAAACTGGGATAAAAACAGGACTTCTGGGCACCTGGGTGGCTCAGATGGTTAAGCGTTTGCCTTCAGCTCAGGTCATGATCCTGGGGTCCTGGGATCGAGACCCACATCAGGCTCCCGGCTCAGCGGGAAGTCAGCTTCTCCCTCTCCCTCTGACTGCCACTCCCCCTGTTCATGCTCTCTCTCTCTCTCTTTGTAGCTATCAGTCTCAAATGAATAAATACAATCTATAAAATATAAATAAATATAAATAAGCCTTCCTACAAAGATTCCTAGTAAGAATGAAAGGGAATGTCAGGGTAACATGTTCCACATGGTTCACAGCCCCCAGAAGCTCAATAAATGATTACAATCTGTGGCTAGGGCTCAATAAAGATTTGTCAACAAAGCTGACAGAGAAGGGGTCCAGGGTGGGTAGGAATGCCTGGGCCTGCTAGTTCCCTGGCCTTCAGAACCATTAGAGAGCACAAAGGGTTTTAGAGCAGTGGGTGTTGGCCAAATCAAAACCCACTGCAATGTCACAATCGGTCGGGAGCCATCTGTCCGAAGTTCAGTTATAAGTAATAAGCAGAGGCAGCAATCAACCCAAGTTCAAGTCCAGCTTCTGCCACCTTCTGCCTGTGGGACTTGAACAAAGTTTTAAAAAACCTTCCTGGGCCTCAACTTCGGTCACAGCACTGGCCACCTTATGGGCAGCTGGGGAATAAGATCACGGACACAGAGGGCACCATGCCTGACACGGGGTTAGCACTCAAGGAATGTTCTCCAAAAGTACACGTTATCACCCCAAAGCAAGCAGTGTTTCCTATAAAAACACAAGTAACAGGCGCATCCCAAGTAATGCTGATTACATCTCCATCCCGCTCACTCAGGTTTTGATATGTGTTCCTGAGTGAGAATTCAGTAATAGTCTTTTTAAAAGTCAGGTGCTGAAATATGAGGCAGCCCCTCTCAATTACCCATGAGAACCTGCCTTCCGCTGGAGCGGCTTCGGGGAAATCCACCCAAGGGGGGGTGGCAGGGGGTTCCATGCTGCTAAGAGAGTTCAGCAGCTGCCAGAAGCAAGAACGAAGTTGAGAAGCAGACAGAGGCTGCTTCCAATTTTTCGGAGCCACTGTGGAAGGTGCTAGGTCTCTAGTACCCAGAAACCTAGGCTTCCCGAGCCCTCCCTCACATCCCACTCCCAAGCCATCAACATATCCTGGTGGCTTTATTTAACTTTTCAGGGAAATTGCACTCCCAGGTGGGAGGAGGAACTTGGGAACCCCAAGTGGTACTGCCGCCGCTGTCTACTGCCACCCGGCAGAGCACCCACCGGGTAGAGGTAGGCCCAGAGGGCAAAGGGCACAGGAGCACGGTGGGGGCTCACCCTGGATGGTCCTCTTGAAGAAGGCTTTGCAGGCCTCACAGGACGCCACGCCATAGTGGTAGCCGGAGGCCACATCCCCACAGACCAGGCAGAGGCGTTTGGGGAGGGAGCTGAGCACCAGCTTCCCACCACCCTGCTCACCAGGCCCAGCCCCCTCCCCATCCTCCTCTTCCTTGTGGCCTGGGAGGCAGCGGGTGGGAGCTGGGCCAGGCGCCAGAGCCACGGGGGGCTCGGTCTCGGTCTCCGAGGAACCCTTTGGGCTGTCGGGGCTGGCTGGCTCTGCCTTGATGTAGAGAGGCTCAATGCCCACCACCTGGCTGGACATGGCGCTGGTCACCTGCAGGGAGAGACCTGTCGGGTCACAGGGAAACACTGGGATGGGGGATGGAGTCCCAGTGCCACCCTGGTTGCCCAACCCTGGGCCTAGGGCCAGGCTTCCAAGCTCATCAAGGGGGAGGGAAGGAGAGCAGAGTCCAAGGAAGGGCTGCCCATGAAGAAGCCTCCCCACAGCTGTTGCCATGGGAACAGAGTCTCCAAAGCCTCCAGGGCCAGTAACTGACAGCAAGGTCTTCCACTTGGGAACCTGGGGGAGGCCTGGAAACTCCCTACTCCCACCCGGGCCAGGGAAGAGCATAGCCTTAGTCTCCAAGTGACCTTCAACCCCATCTGGAATGCCCAGCCCCTAGAGAGATACCTCTCAATTTTCTTCAGATGTTGGGGACCTCGATGATTGCCCCCTCACCTGGGCATCCTCCATTCAAAAGCCCAAAGCAGGCACACAAGGGCCGGTGGTGGCTTCACACACTCCCCCTCACCTGGGTCCTCAGGTGTCCTCACCGGCTCACACACGCTCACTCTCTACTGGGCGCTCACACAGGGACTTCCCCAAGCCCAGGCTCTCCCTCATGCTCCCCTTCGTCTTCACACACTCCTGCCCAAGTGCACAGCCCATAAACAAAGTCACACTCGAGACTCACAATCACACACACTCACTCCCAAACACACCGTGCCCCCACACTGACACACAGACACAGACCGTTGTGGAAACACTCAGAGCCTTTCACACCTGACACAGCCTCCTGCCCCGGCATGCCAATCCCAGGCCCACCGGAGGACGCGGCTCCACCTCCTTACACCCCACCCCACCCGACCCCCGACCCCCGCCAGCGCATTCACTCTTACACTCCAGCCGCCCGCAGAATCCTTCACCTCGGGGGCGCCCCGCCCCCCCAACCTGCGCACACCTACGGAAAGTTGCCTAAAGTTGCTGCGCCTCCCCTCCCCCTCCGCCCGCGGGGGACCTCTATCAGGTTATCAGGAAGTAAATGGGGAGCGCCGAGGAGGAGGAAGTTCTCCCCTGCCGGTGCGATGACCTTTGACCCAGAGAGGAGGGTGGCCCAAGGCCCCTTCGAGCGCCCCCACGTGGTCTTCAGAGCCCCTTCTCAGACAGTGAGCCCTCCCTATCTTCCACCCAGGCCCGCCCCTGGGACTTCGACTTGCTCCAGGTGCCGGATTGAACCCTGCCCTGGGACTGGATCCGAGGCCCGAGCCTGACCCCGGCCGGGACCTGAAGCCCGAGCCAGAACCGGCCCCTGTCCCAGGCCGACGCATTGAGACCTCAACACGGGATCCCGCCCAGACCCTAGCCTCGTCGGGCCCTGGACCCGGTCCCAACCGTGACCCGGGCTGGACCTGGAGCCGGACCCCGCCCGGAGCCCGCCCCACCCCCGCCCGCCTCCCAACCGCGCTCGCACATGGCCCCCGCGCCCCGCCCGTCCACCCCCCCCCCAGCGGCGCTCCCCTCCGCCCCCGGACCTGGGGCTCCGGCAGGGCTGGCGGGCAGGCATGGGGGCCGAGCGGCCCGGAGCACCGGGGTGAGCCTGGGGCCGCAAACGGCCCCTCCTCCGCCGCCTCCTCGGGCCGCACCGCCCCGCCGCGCCGCGTCCCCTCACTCGGCGGCGCCGCCGGCGGCTTGTAGGACACAAAAGGACATCGCGGCCGCTTCCTACTCTGCTTCCTCCAGCTGACAGCGGGGGTGGGGCCGGCCGTGCGCATGCAAAGCAGGGGGCGGGTCTCGGCGCCCTATGCTAATCAGACAAGCTGGGCGGGCAGCGCCTGCGTGCCCGGACCAGTCAAGGCGGAGCCAGCGAAGCCAGGGGGCGGCCCCTCATGAAGGTCCCGCCCATCGCCGCCGAGTAGAAGCGGTGCACTAGCTGAGGGGGCGGGGCCAGAGGAGACTTGGGAGAGGCTCCGAGAGGGAGTTGGAACCAGGAGCGCTCTTACGTAACGAAGGAGGCGGGGAGCGCTGTGCGCGATCGAAGTGAGCGAGGTGCCTCGGTGGCCGCAGTTGCGGGACAGGGAGACGACTTACATATGTAAATGAGAGGGCGGGACGAGCGGAGAGGTTAGTGTAACTGCATATGCATGAGGGGCGGGGCCCAGCATGCCCAAACTAGAGGGGAGGCGCTGCCCCTTTACCTTCTCACCCTTCCCCCAAGATTACACCACAGGGGCACTTGGACCGCAGATCCTGTATCCCCACACAGCTGCTGGACCCAGGGTGGGAGAAGCAGGCATAAAACATGCGAGAAGTCCTGGATTTCGAGTCCCGGGAAGGCGGAGCCAATAGAGCCCGGACGGAGAACGCTCAAGGTCACTGCGGTGACCGCGTGAAGGTCACGGGGAAAGGCGGAGCCATGTGCGTCCGCCTCACGCGGGCAGCCACGCACTGACTCACCGACCGTGCACAGAGTCTTTTATTTCTCTAGGACTCAAATTCCATGTGGGCAGGGTCGGGCTTGGGTCTGGGGACCGGCCGGGGGCCCAGAGACTGGAGCCGGCCTCTCTGTCACTCCAGCCGGAGCCCGAGGCGGTGCTCTCAGTGCATCAAGAGGCGCAGCCTCTTGTTCCGGCGTCTCCTGAGTCCCTCGATGTATCGCTGCAGCTGCTTGGTCAGGAAGTGGTCCCGGCCAATGCCTGACCGGTAGCCTGCAGAGCAGAGGGGCCGCTCAGGGCAGTGAGCAGGGGCATGGCGTCCCCAGCAGCAGTGCTGCACCTGAGATTTGAGGAACCATGGGTGATCTGGGGTAGCAGGAGTGCTTGGCCCTCGGGTCTGTGTTAGTCTGGGAAACTGGATCTCCAAGGTGCTGGGCCCTGGCAGGTTTTTTTTTTGTTTCGTTTTGTTTTTGTTTTGTTTTGTTTTTTAAAGGTCAGGTCATACACTTGTACTCCAGATGGGGGATGTGGAGGAGGCTGAGTGTTGAGGTGGAGCATGGGTGAGGGCAAGTTTAGAGTGTTGCAGGCCTGAACCAGGACAGTGGTAGAGGGCAGCTTCGTGGACACCCCTGGACCACTCATCCTGACCCATTAGCCAGCATCCCTGTCTTATATTATAAGCAGGGCAAATGAGAGAACTTGGACCCAAATAATCCACTGTCCAGAGGTTCCTCACAGCACCAAGGGAGGGGACCAAGGCCACACAAAGACTGTCATCCCCACTGGGGAACGGAGAAACCGCTCAAGAAAATCCACATCAGCTAGAGAGAGGCTGCAATGAAGGCCGGAGCCCAGGCCCCTTACCGTCACGTCATGCTCTCCCCACTGGATGTCCCTGTGCCCAGTCCAATTTTTTACTTTTGGTAGGGCTCCTGGAATACTCGTGGGTGGTAAGGGAATCTGACAAGGCAAACACGGCCTGAATCTCCATTCCCAGAGGCCTGACCCCTGCAAAATCCCCCAGGGTCTGGGGGGCGGGGGTAGTAGCTCACTCCTGAGGGCTTTGGTGAGGATTTCCAGAGCTTCATTCTCCATGAGGTCCATCAGAGGCAGTGGCAGCTGGAGAGGCAGCAAAAGGCTCAGATGTCCCAGGGACCCCAGCCCTGCCCCAAGCTGAAATGCCCCACCTGCTCCCTCTAGCCCCAAGACCCCTAACCACGCTGCCTGCCCCTCCCCTCTGCAAACCACCCTTACCCCTTCACTTCTGCAACTCCCAACTTGCCCATCCCCACCCCACTAAAATGCCCAGTCTCCCTCGGTGCTTCTAACCCTGTTCTGCTGCTCCATCCAGTAGGCTCGATGGGGTGTGTGCTTTGAGATATTGAGCGATGACTCTGAGGAAGACATTTCTGGGAGAAGAGAAAAAGAGAGGTCAGTCATCTGCAGACTGCTGGGTCTTCCCTGGAGCAGAGGAAACATAGGGGCAGGCTTGTGGTGGCAGGGGAGTGGCCTTCAGAGACCAGCTCCAGGTGCCACCTTATTGGGAAACAGTATGGGACAGTAGTTTACTACCCTGGGCTTTATCGTCCCACCCACCCAGGTTCCAGTTCTGACTTCCCCATCAGGCAAGGCTTAGGAGCAGTGACTGAAAATTTCTGACCCTCAGGCTCTTCATGGTCAAATGGGGTAATAAGAATAACCCCTGGGTTAAAGCCTCTGCCTTCAGCTCAGGTTATGATCCCTGGGTCCTGGGATCGAGCCCTGCATCGGGCTCTCTGCTCGGCGGGGAGCCTGCTTCCCCCTCTCCTTCTGCTTGCCTCTGCCTACTTGTGATCTCTGTCAAATAAATTAGTAAAATCTTAAAAAAAAAAAAAAAAACGGTATGCGGTGACTGGGTGGCTCAGTGCTTAATTGTCTGCCTTCGGCTAGATCATGATCCTAGGGTCCTGGGATCAAGCCCCATCCCTGATCAACAGGAAGCCTGCTTCTCCCTCTCCCAATCCCCCTGCTTGTGTTCCTTCTCTCGCTGTCTCTCTCTCTGTGTGTGTCAAATAAATAAATAAAATAAAATAAAATAAAATAAAATAAAGAAAAAAAGAATAGACCCTTAAGAGAGTTGTGAAGTTTAAGGTGATCATGCAAAGAAAGCCCAGTGCCTGGCACACAGCAAGCACTCAAAATGCATTAAAATACTGTTATACGTTCTAATGCCCCATGTAGGTAGGGACCAGAGCAAGGGGGAGGGGAATCCCAGACGGTACCCAGCAAGAAATAGGTACTTAAAAATTGTAGCCAATGACTGAGTGAATGAAAGACAGGCACCTCCTCAACGACAGCAAATCCATACACAAGGAAATAACTCCCTCCTCTCAACCGTCCCAGTGATTCCATGAGAAGCACGGGTCCTACCGCGCTGCCTTTGCGCATTTCCGCAGGTGTCTCCCGGACTTGGCGTGCCATGGCCACAGGACCCTGTACGACGCCTGTCCGGTAGGGGGCGCTCCAAGAATGTCTGGTTGATTTAAAGCGTAGAAGACGAACGCTCACGCGGGTCCCGGGAAGGGAATCCTGGAAAAGGATCCTCCAGCTTCCCCCTCCACCCCCTATTTCACAGCAACAGATATTGAGGTCCTGGCCAGCCCCCTGCCCTGTGGATACCCACAGCCCTGTGAGGCCACACTGACCGGTGTCGGTCTTGGACTCCTTGGAATCGCCGTCCTGCTCCTCTAAACGGCTTCCCAGGGAGCGGGCCCGACTTAGCTCCAGCTCCAGCAAGGAGGGCTTGTCCAGATCCTCCTGTTTGAAACTGTCCTTGTCCTCTCTGATATCCCATTCTTCCCAAATACCGTCCGAGTCGCCTCTGGCCTTCTGGTTGTACCACGGGCGAGACTTGCTGCCAACGCTGCTGCCCTCCATGTCCGAGTCCTCGCCAACACTGGACCGGGGCCCATTCAGCTTCGGCTGCGACAGCGTGGCCCTGGTCCACAGATTCCGGATGTCCTCTGGGCTCGACATGTCTGAGTCACGGCTGCCCAAAGACGCCTGTGGGCCACATACAACGAGGGAAGCCAAGGGCTTCCAGGAGTTGGGAGGGAGAGGGAGAGCCGGCTGGGACCGTGACTCTGTCGAGTGGGCTCACAGCCGAGGCTGGGGGAGAGAAGAGCCAGGGACCCACGACGGACCCAGGCTGGGGGCTCACAGGGGGAGGAGGCCAGGGAAGGGTTCTTACTCTGAAAGGTTTTTCGTCCATGGTTCTGCCCCAACGGACCCGGTCGCCACAGGCCTCGGGGCGAGGAGCAAGGGGTCACGCTCCAGGAGCGGGGAGGGGCCGGATCGCGTTCCCGAATGGTGCTGCGGGTCTCGCGAGGGAGAGTTCAATCTGCAGCCCCCCTCCCCACGCTAGATGCCATTCTCTCTCCCGTCCCCACCGCCCCGTATCTGCGCTGAGGTTGGAGATGCACAGAACACCATGGCACATTCCTATTCCGGACCCTATACCCGGTAGCCTCCTGGCGGAGACACGGGCCCAAGCGTGGCCCTTTCGGGTGCAGGCGTGGGGAGGAGGGGCTCGGCCCCGGGGGGTGGGTAGAGGGTTGTCACAGGAGGCCTGGCTTGCCCGGGAGGTGGCCCGACGCAAGCACTCCCACACCCACTCGCGTCCCCGGAGCGCGCACGCCCGCAGCGGTGCAAACTGTTTTCATTTATTGATGCAGGCTTTTGAGGCACAGTCGTGAGGTGTGGTGAGGGACGGGCCCAGCCGAGACAGCGAGACAGAAAGCCTTGGGGGGTCTGCAAATGGATGAAGTGAGGAGAGGGCCAGGAGCAGGGTGTGGCAGCCCGTAGCCTCCTCCGCAGGCCTCGGTCGGGTCGAGAGAGGCCTCTTTGGTCAAACAAGCAGAGCATGCCGGGGAGAGCGCAAGAACGAAGTCCTTGGAGAGGCCCGGGCCGGGGGTCCTGCCCCTACGCCGGCACGCCTCTTTCCCGCGGGCGCCCTGGGCCCCGCGGCCGCGCGGGCTTCCGGGGAGGGTTAGTGGGGCGGCGGCGACCCCGTGGCGCGCGGGGCAGCGCGCAGCCGCGCTCGCTCTGGGTGTCGGAGGACTCGTCGATGAAGGCCAGGTTCTCGCTGGGGTAATCCAGCGCGGAGGCCGTGGGCGGGGTGGACGGGGAGGACGGGGAGGGCGGCTCGGCCTTCACCGGGAGCGGGGACGGGGGCCCGCCGGCGGGCTGCGCCGGACACGGCGGCGGAGGCAGGAAGGGCCGCTCCTTCTCCAGCGGCGGTGGTGCCGTGGGCCCGACTCGCTGGGTCACCCGCGCCGTCACCGTGCCGGTCCAGCTGGCGGCCTGCGCCGTGAGGCCGCCCATCTGCGCGAAAAGTAAAGGCAGTCCTCGACCGCGGGTCCTCGACCACCTCTGCGACCCCGGGAACCTACCCCATCAGGCGCGGCCACCCTTCCCCCCCCCCCCCCGCCCTACCCCCGCCCCCCAGAGGGGGGGGGGGGGGGGGGGCTCGTCACTCAGCGACACACTCTCCTCTCCTCCGTCAGAACCTAGGAGACCTTTCCTCCTGGAGCTTTTCTAGAAAGCCCCGGGTTGATTTCAGCTATCCGTCCCGTGCCCCCTAGAGACCTTTGCGCCTCTCGAGCTCCTTGGCCAGCGCGGCCAGTAGGGTGACACAACACTCAGGTTGTCTAGTTAAATGTGAATTTCAGATAAACGACGAATAAAATCTTAATATATGCATGTCCCTCCCGTGCAACATTTGGGATATACTTACACTAAAATGTTACTTGCTATTTATCTGAAAGTTACATTCAACTGGGCTTCCTGCTTTTTTTGTTTTGGTTTTTGGTTTTTGGCTTTTTCACCCTAAATTTCTCAGCTCCATTCATGACAGCGGAGACAGAGTCCTCAGCAAACCGATCTAAGTTTAACCCTTTGCCCCCTGGCCGTGTGCACATGGCGCGGGCCGGGGGGGGGGCACTCAGTCCCTGCCTTGAGAAGCCCACACTCTGGAAGAAAGGCCGACTGATCAACCCGCTGCTAGGGTACAGCGCATCAGCGGCACAGCGCAAGCGCCGACCCAGAGGCGCCTACCTCTGCCCGAGTACGTCGGGACACTACTCGCAGCCAGTTCCCGATGGTGGTGAGTACCGAAGCGAAGTAGGCCAGGCCGAGCAGGATCCAGAACCACACCAGGGGCTGGTAGGCTGCATTGCTCTGGTTGGGGCTGGCGCCTGGGATACCACCGGGGAGGCCAGAAAGATGTTGATTTGTGGGGCAGGCTTTAAGCCTGTGAGCTCCTGATTCACCTCCCTTCTTCCCAGTTCAGTGAGAGCATCCGCCTCCCCCGGGGCAATCAATTGGTGTGTGTGAACGCATGCAAGACGAGTGTGCATTACTTGAAAGTGTGCCAGATAAAAATACGCGAGTGTGCTCGCGCGCAAAAATGTGGGCATATGGGAGGGGTGCTCATATATAAGAATGTGACACATAGGAGGGGCGCACTTAATGTATGTGTGAGCATGCATCGGGGTGCAGGCATGCCAGAATGTAAGGGCACATGAGCCGTTGCATCCGTGCAAAAACGTGAAGGTGCATTCCGCGAGGGCACGTGGGGATTGGAGCAAGTGCCTGTGAGCGCCCACGCACCACAGGGAATTTGGAGGGAGACGCAAGAGTGCAGGGTCCCTGGGCATGAATAAAGTGGATAGGGAAGTGCAGTGCAAGAAAGGTGGCCTCACCGGCCACATAGTCCCCGAAGCCCACCGTGGTGAGCGTCACCACGACGAAGTAGATGGCCTCCAGCTTGCTCCAGCCCTCCACGTAGCAGAACACGAACGTGGGCGTGAGGACAAAGAGCAGGCAGCCGATCAGCAGGAAGAGCACCGCCGATAGGATTCGCACCAACCCCGGTGGCACGTGCCACTTCTGCAGGGAGGGGCAACGGGCAGGAGGGACCCAAGGCGTCGCCAAAACCTCCAGTCACACACCCCCACACCGCCTCGTCGGGGCTCCTGTGCGCGAGGCTCCCGCGTCCTCGAGGCCTGCGCGCTCACGGGCGGGGCGGGGACATAGGCAAGGGTAACCCGAGCTCAGCGCGAGGGCGCGCAGGGCAAGGAACAGCTCACCAGGAAGATGGCTTCGATGTGACCGATGCCACGGCGCAGAGAGGAGCCCAGCCGGTCCCCGACCCCTGCCAGCAGGATCCCGAATAGCGGGATCCCCACCAGCGCATAAAAGATGCAGAAGAGGCGTCCCGCATCCGTGCGCAGGGCCGCGTTGCCGTAACCTGGGCAGAGGGGCCGTGCAGGAAGTCTAGGGGCTGCCTGGCCTCCACTTCCTCCCTCTGCACCTTCCCGCAGGAGAAAGCCCGGCGGCCCCTTGCCCCCCTCCACGTGCCCAGTCCCCTCCCCCACCGATGGTGGTGATGATGGTGCCCGAGAAAAAGAAGGCGCTGCCCAGGTCCCAGGCTGAGTGGTTGCTGTTACTGGAGGAGTTGATGTCAGGGTCCGCACCCCCTCCCAGGGCATCAGCCACATCCTGCAGGACAAGGCGCAGAAGGAGGAACCTCAGCCCTTCCCTACCGTCCTGGCCAAGCCCCCTGACCCTCCAGTCTCCAGAGTGGTGTCCTCCTCCCTCCCCCTCCCAGCTCTCCCCTTCCCTCCCATCTTCCTGAGGGTAGTCCCTTGGAGCAGACATTGCAAATTGGGGGGCCCAATTGTGTTTCACCTCCACATTGTTTTAGAAACATTTTAGCTGGGATGCCAGGGTGGCACAGGCAGTTAAGCCAGTGGGTGGGACTCTTGATTTCAGCTCAGATCTTGATCTCAGGGTTAGGATCTCAGGGTCCTGACACACACACACACACACACACACACACACACACCTTCCCCTTCCCCTTGAGCTCATGCTCAGCAGGGAGTCTGCTTGGGATTCTCTCCCTCCCTCTCCCTCTGCCCCTTCCCCCTACCCCCTCCTCTTGCAAGAGTGTGTGTGTGCTAGAGGGCTCTTTCTCTAAATAAATAACTAAATCTTAAAAAAAAAAAAAAGACTTTCATTATCTGCCCCTTAATTTCACACAAAAGATTTCTAGTTTACAGAGATCAGGAGCAGACCTGCACCAGACTGCCTGGGTTCAAATCTCAGTGCTCTGTGACCCCAGGGGCAAGATAACTCTCTGTGCCTCAGTTTCTGCCTCTGTCAGGAGCGGACAATGCTGCTAGCGCCTACCTCAGGCAGTTGTGAAGAATTAAAATAACCCTTGTGCATTTAAGTTAGTCAGTCCCATGCCCAGTGATTTCCAACTTTCCACAGATCCCACCACTCCCATCGCCCCTAAGAAAGCAGTTTTAGTTCCTTGCCTTAGAAAAATCTGATGGAAGTTAGGGAACCTTTCTCCAGGAAGGTTCATATACCTTCAAATTCTGTACCCAAGACCGGAAGGCTCATGGACACACAAACCCCCACCCAACCCAAACCCTGTGCTTACATAGTAGGTGCTCGATAAATAGGAGTAAATTAATGATGTCTGCCCCTCTTGCCACCTTGCAGGTCCCTTCAAGACAGAGTCTGTGTTGTCAGAGTGTCTGCCTTAAGTGACACAGATTTGAGAGCACAATGAGGGGTGGGGGGCAGAGGGGGCCATTCCCCAAGGGGCACAGAGCCAAGGCACAAAGACAGTGGAGAAGATCAAACACCACATTCTTCCTCTCTGACTGCAATCCTCATTAGCAAGACCCATTCCAAATTAATCTTCCTAAAGTGACAGTCCCACATCCTCCATAGCTCCCCACGGTCTGCCCCAGAATAATGTCCAAATTCCCACCCCAGCATCTCAGCCCCTTTTCATCTAGTCCCCATCTCCCTTTCCCCAGCCTTCTTTCCTGGGGCCCCGATCTGAAACCCAAGTTGCAGTGTGATCTTACCCCCAGATTTTCTGAGACGATCCCACCTCCTGTAATAGTAATTCTTAAATGAAGCCAAGAAGTGAAATGTATGATTAAGGTGATTTAAATTTTATTTTGCAAGACTTTTCCAATAAGTTCTCTACTTGGGGGAAAAAAAAATCTCTTGTCATCCTGTGTGTTCTAATTTTTGCTTCAAATGACTAGGCATCTGCTAAATCCGAGTTCTGCAAAACACTCTGCGTCTTTCCAACTTCCACGCCTTTGCCCAGGCTGTTTCTCTGCCTGCAGGTCTCTTGCAAACCAATCACACATCTCTAAATTCTACCCTTCTGTCTCACCTGCCTCATTTCAATTAGCAGCTCCTCCCAAAGCCCCCCACCCCCACCCCATCTCCCTCCTTGCCTCCAGCACCTAGCTCAGAGCCCAGCATACAACAGGTGTTTAACAAAGAAGGAAGCAAGGAAAGCTCCTTTTCCACTGAATCCTACAGAGATCTGTCCGTGGAACTGTCCCCCTATCCCAAAGTGACATCCTCTAGGGTAGAGCCTGCCTCTGTTCCACCCCATAGCAATTTCCCTGCTCACCCTACGGTGTAGTAGCACAGCACCTAGCACACAGTAGGTGCATAATTGCTGCAGGACTGCCTAGCTATGGGAGAGAAAGCAGCTGTCGCCCACACTTCTAATTTCTGTCCTTCCTTTTCTTCTTTTTTTATCCAGGAAAAAAGCCTTTACATCGTGAAGATAAAATAGGTCAGATTCCCTCCCTCCCCCACTCTGCCCTGTGGTCTGGCCAGACACATCCTCCTGCCCAGGCCTCTCTGTGCCTCACTGGGCATTCTGGAAGTGTCAGAGTCAATGTCAAGCAGCCTAAGTCCCAGCCCCACCCCACCCTCATCTCTGCTCCTGCTCCTGCCCCCACCTTGGGAATTAGCTGGAACACTGGGGCCTCCAGGCCCATGGTTCCTCCCTCCAAAAGAAGAGGCAGGGGAGAAGGGGTACTCTTCAATTACTCTTCAAAGTAATAAACATCCACTTATTAAAGTTAATCCTTGGGTTGTTTATATGAAAGTGACTCAGAGGGGAGCCTGGGTGGCTCAGTGGGTTAAGCCTCTGCCTTCAGCTCGGGTCATGATCCCATCGGGCTCTCTGCTCCGCAGGGAGCCTGCCTCCACCTCTCTCTCTGCCTGCCTCTCTGCCTACTTGTGATCTCTCTCTCTGTCAAATAAATAAATAAAATCTTAAAAAAAAAAAAAAAAAAGAAAGTGACTCAGAAATCACAGAAGCAACAAAGGTGCTTATGTGCTAGCACCCCAGGAGGCTGAAGCCCAGAACTTTCTTTAGTCACTGAACCAAACCTGAACCCACCCCTTCCTCTAGCCTCATCATAAACATGTGTCCTGGGGGAAAAGGGGTGCCTAACCTGGTATCCACGGTGGCAGGCTTAGGGCATCCTGGAACCCTCTGAAATGTGTCCTTCTGACACCCTCTGAATCTAAGTGCATTTTTCCAGGGGGTAGGGGAGTGTCCACTGTGTTCTTGGGCATCTCCAAGGCATCTGGGACTCCAAAGAAGTACAGAAACCAGTGTAAGGTTGCCAGATTCAGTAAATAAAAATACTGCATGGGACATATGTATTTTTTAAAAGTATTCATTGCTTACTGGCTAAAATTCACAATTACCCAGGCACCTTGGGTTACAACATCTGGCAACCAGGAACCAGTGCATTAGGCCTGTGACAAGGTAACATATTTTGTATGTACCAGCCACGTATTCATTTCTTCCTTCACTGGTTCCTTTGCTCAACCACCATCACACGGAAGGAGCCGGTCCAGAAGCTCAGTGCAAGGCCAGGAAACGCAAGGCGGCCAAATGTCCCCCATGGACACCATATTGAAAACACAGAGACCTGGATGTCAGCCTCCATCCTGGACCCCTCGGCTGCACCCTTCCCTCACTGGGTGCCCACTGGAGGCGGCAAGCCAGTGCAGGGCCCCACTGGCAGTCAGCTCCTTTTGGGGGGTCATGGATGACTCCTGAAGGGGGTTCCTGCCCACCCACGAACCTTGATGAAGATCCCCAGGTCCTGGTCGCTCACACACGGATGGGCCCTCAGGAACTTCTCTCGGACCTCCCCCAGCTCCCTCTGGGCCTGCTGTTCGTGGGGCTGCTCCAGGGCCTGGAACACCAGGGCACCGGACACCAGGTAGAGCAGGACCAGCGCCAGCAGTGCCAGAAGAGTGGTGCTGCGCATGGCGCGCCCAGGGGCCCGTCCAATTCCACTGCCCGCCTGGGGAGGCCGGGCAGGGGGCTCCTGGGGAGCTGCGGTCACTGTGGGTAGAACCAGGGATGCTGGGGTCAATCCCTCAGCCTGCCACCCCTCCGCCCTCCTCCTCTTCCAGCCCCCACACACCCAGAGGTCCTTGGAGCCCCCAGCCCTACTGCCCATAGATGTCTTCTCTTCACATCCCTCTGCCAGGACACTTGGTACCAGGGCACACCCAGTCTCCCCCCTCTTTTGTCCCCCCCCCCTTACCTCCATTGCCCGGCCCTCAGCCCCTGTCCGGGAACTCCGGGATAGGAGAAGACAAAAGGGCGCCGGGAAGGGAAAGGAAGGAGAGTGGAAGGGGGAGCCTGCTGAGGGACCCCCGGGCGAGCAAAAAAATGCCAGGGGGTCTGGAGGGGTCGTGAGGAACCGGCTCCGGAGCGGGAGGATGAGGGGGCGCGGAGGCGCGCGCAGGGGGAGCAGGCGGAGAAGCCGGACCTCGCAGGGCGGGGACGGGGATGGCGGGTCCCGGCTCCTCCGCTGCGGCTGCTGCAGGATCTTCGAGCTTCTCTCCCCGCTCCCGCCTCTCCCCGCTCTGCCGCGACCCGCTAGGGGCCGGGCGGGTAGCCTCCAGGGTCTCCCAGTGCCCCGCCGGGCTTTCGAGGAACCCAGGGGCGGGTCCGGGTCGCGGCGCTGAAGCGAGGCGGGGCGGGGGTGGGGGCGCGGGAACGTGCCGGGTTCCGGGAAGGAACAGGGAGGGAGCGACCAGGGCCGGACCCTGGGGCAGCATCCTCCCCGACAGCCGTCAGCACCCCACCCCCGGGACAGCGGGCGGCGGCGCCCACGCGCACACCCGCAGGCACAAAGGCCCGCGCGCCCACGCTCCGCCCTGCGGCTCCCGCCCGCCGCGCCGCCCAGGCTGCACGCACACACTCCACCTGCACGCCCGGACCCCCCGGGGCCGTGCGCGCCCGGCCGAGGCACCCGAGGTCCACGCGCACGTGTGCACACACTCCCGTCCACACACCCAAGCCGCCGGGCCACCGCGCAGCGCCTGACACCCAAGACACACTGCACACCCGCCGTTGGCTCCCACCGCCTCCCGAGTCTTCAACGCTGACGCCCGGGAGCCTGCGGGCGGCAAGACGCGCTGCCGCATGACTCCCGGAGGCGCCCACGCGAGGGAGGTGCGCACCCCGCCCGGCCGGTCGCCCCCCGTGCACCCCTCCCTGCCGGGGAGTCCCGCCCGCGCTCCGCACTCCCTCCCGCGTCAGCCCCGCACTCACTGTCGGCCCCGCTGCGGCTGCGGCTGCGGCTGCGGCTGCGGCCCGAGCTCCCGCGCGGCCTCGCCGGTGCCGGCTGGGCCGCGGAGGCGGCGGCGGCGGCAGGGGCGGAGCGGGCGGCCGCCGGGGCTGGGACCCCCCTCCCGCTGCCAGAAACCCCCTCCTTCCAAGCTTAACCCCTCCAGCGCCGCGCCTCCCTCCGTGCCGCGCCCTTGCCGCCGGCGCGGTGCCCCGCAGCCCCTTACCTGCGGCCGCCCAGCCCCCCAATTCCAGCGGGTCTCGGCAGGTGAGGGGCAGAGGAACCCGAGACGGGTAGCCGCTGGGTCCGGCCTGGAGTCTCAGATTGGAGTCCTGGTATTGTCCCGCCGGCCATCCAGTGTGGCCCGCGGCACGGCCCCGGCCTGGACATCTGCCGGCTCACCTCTCCGGACAGGCGCCACGCTAATCTCCCAGCATCTCCCAGGCCCACTACGGATCGGAAGGGCCCTCAACTCCCCGCCCCTGGGGACACCCTGGCCCATGGGCTCAGCACTCCTGAGGGAGGCGGCCTGCGGGACAAAGGGTTAGGGATCCACTGAAACAATCTGGAATTGGCCGAGGTAGGGCTGGGACTTAGTTCTGGAAAGTCATGCCGGGGGCACCTCCTACCCCTACTCCCGAGCCATCCCTTGGTCCTCACCTCCGTGGCCCTCGCAGCATGGAACCATCCCTCCCCCCACAGCCTGAACAGCCAGGGCCCAGGCAGGTCTTGGAACTGCTCCCCTCTGTGTTCCCACCCACTTCTTGAAACCCTGAGCTCTCCTAAAATCTTCCGGCTTGGGGTCTTCAGCCACCACGGTGGGTGGCGTTAAGCCTGGGCTCTAAGGCTGACCACCCCCTACCAGCAGAGGGCGCAGATGCGGCTAGCAAGCTCCCCAGAGCCTCCCTGTCCCTACTTACAGAAAAGGCATGATTAATTCTCGCCTCAGAGTGCTGTTCTGAGCATTAAGGAGGTCACTATTTGTAAATGCTCAAAACAGAGGCTGGAACACACAATAAAGTGTCCTACAAATATTAGCAGTCTTCCTTTCAACAGAGAGTGACTGTTCAGCTTCAAGCTGATTGTCAGTGTCAGATGCCCAGTCTGGAAGCCCTGAAGTCCCGGTGCCCAGGAGCATCTGAAGCAGAGAGTTTCAAGACAGGATCTGTGCTGGGCCCAGAACTCCGATGAGCTGTGATGATCAGGCCCTCTGATAGGACAGGAGAGAGACCCTCTGATAAATGACTCCCAGCCACAGGACAGAGGTCAGCTCTGCCAACGCCATGGCAGCAGAAAGCAGTAACTGTGGTATTAGGGGGAACCAGAAAGGGGCCCTCGGGGCCACCACGCAGACACTGTGGGGGCAGCCCAACTCTCCGGCCAAATCCACACCTGGTGGGGAGGTGGGGGCTTCTCAGTCCCAGGCCAACTCCTCCATGGCCCTGGACCAATTCCTGGCCCAGAATGCCAGGTTAGGAGGATGACAGGGAAACAGGGTTTCCAGAAATCCCAACCCAGCAAGGGGAACAGGCCTAAGAGACCCATAATCACGCTGCCACTGGACCCTGGAGTGGGGACATAGCTCCCTGACCTGGAGACGAAAGGCTTCATAAAGCAAGTGACATCTGAAGCAGGTTTTGAGGCAAGAGTAGACATTTTTCAAGAGAAGAGGGCACTGGAGTGGGGACAGACTCTTCTGGCCTCCTTTCCCCTCTGACTGCAGGCTCTTCCCTCTCCCTGCCGACCAGCCTAGGTCAGGTAAGTGCCCCCCCCCCAGCCATACCCTGGGAGGGCCTGGGTCTGATCAGCCTTCAGCTGTACAGGCTGCCGTGAGAAGAACACAAAGGCGACAATAGACAAGACAGCGAACAGACAAGGGGCACGGACACTGTTTATTGAGTGACAAGTGCAGGAGAGGTAGGTGGCTCCAGTGCAGAAGTGGAGATGGCAGGTCATGCCAAGGTGCTGTGGGCATCTGGCAGCCAGGCCATGCCCCCCCATCCTAGGGGACAGCACAAGCTCACTATGACAGGAGTAGCAAGGAGCCAGCCAGGGGCAGAGGCGGCCACAGCCTCTCATGATCCTGGGCAAGAAGCGGCAGATGAACTTGGCACAGGGACCTGGGATGGGAGGACTAGGGTCTGGGGGTTCTAGTGGGGAGAGTGGGAGGGGATCACGTCTGTGGGGTGGAGTAGAGACTGTGGTGGTGGCCACCTGGTCCCAGCACCTGGGAGAAGAGCAGAGGAGTGGTCCGTGTCTGGCTGCCTCCGCACCAGCCCGGCTCCCGCCCGATGGCGCCATACCAGCTGCCGGAGCCCAGGCTGCCCGACATGCTGCAGGCAGAGAAACAAGGATCAGTCCCAAGGCAGGGACCCGGGCCACAATCACAAGATATGGCGGTGGGAGAGAGGCTTATTAGCACAAGGCCCAGGGCCTCCACCTTTCCAGCACCTAGGGCCTGAACCGTCTAGACTATGGCAAACTGCAACTTGGGGTGGGAAGCAGAAGAGACCTCACGCAGTACAGACAGGAAGCAGGGGCGGGGCAGGGGTGGGGCAAGGGGAGAAAGTGGCAGGACCAGGCTCTAGGTCCCCATGGCTCAATGGAGGGAGCTGGGAGCTGGGAGGACCTGAGGCAGGGCCAGGGCTCCTACCTGGTGCTCTCACTACGGCTGTGCTCCCAGGAGCAGCCCTCGTCCTCACAGTGCCCGGCCCGGTCAAAGAAGTAGGAACGGGAGCCAAAGACCTGCCCATTGAGGATGCGGCTGGTGCTCTGGGGGAGGAAACCAGCATCGTGCTTTCTCCTGCCCCACCATTGGCTTCCCACGGCCCTGCCAGAACCTGGCCCAGGGATTCCCGGCAACCATCCCTCTCCACTGGCCCTCACCAGGTCCTGCGGGGGCCGGTGCACCCGGAAGAAGCCCACCAGCAGGGTGGTGGGCAGCAGCTCCCACACAAAGAGGATGAGGCCAAACACCAGGTAGCCTTTGTTCCCCAGGTCATTTACCAGGTCCGCCTGTGGGAAGACAGGAGTTTGTATCAATCCACAACTGTGTCGGGGCGGGGGGCGTGACCCAGACAGAGTCGAGGCCAACTGGGGGCCAAGAGCCATGGCCATTAGGGAGGCACCTGCCGTGCTGAATGCCCACCTGGTCAGAGACGTTGTACCAGTCATAATCGAAGGCATCCAGCCGGCTCCGGGGGGCCAAGGCCAAGGCCGCCAGGTTGTAGCAGGCCCGGCTGGCGTAGAGCAGGACCATGGCACCACCCATCGCAGCTGCCTGGCACACACTGGTCCCCTGGCACAAATGACAAAAGAGGACCCTCAGGGAGGGGAAGCTCCAGCTCCCTCTCTACCCAGACGATCACTGCCCAAAGGCCCCAAGGGACACCCAGGGATCAGGGCTTGTGGCCCTACCTTGGCCTCCAGGTAGATGCTGGTGGAAGGCGCCCGCCGGGCGACAAGGCAGAGGCAGGCAGCAAGAGAGAGTGCGCAGATAACAAAGAGGGAGTCGCTCACCAGGACTCGCACCAGCAGGAGGGCCCAGGGCTGTGCCCGGCGCCGGCGGGACAGCACAGCGCACAGCACGTTCACCAGCAGAAAGAGCAGCGAGGCCCCCACGAAGGCCCCTCGGACAGCCAGCCTGCAGCCCACAGCACAGTCAGCCCCAGGAAACCATCGCTGGCACCCACTGAACCCCCCACCAAACTCCCTCAGGGTCAATCAGAATCAATCCAGACCAACCAATCTGAACCCCGGCTCTCCAGTTTCACAGATGGGGAAACCGAGGCCCACAGAGGTCAGACAGTGACTGACAGCTATGGTAGAGCAGAAAGAGCACAAGACTGAGAGTCAGAGACGTGGGGTCAGGGGCGCTTGGGTGGTTCAGTCAGTTGAGGCTGAGTGTTTGCCTTTGGTTGCGGTTGTGATCCCAGGCTCCCTGCTCAGCGGGGAGTCTGCTTCTCCCGCTCTCTCTGCCCTTCTCCCCACTTGTGCACTCTCTCTCTCGATAATAAATAAATAAAATCTTTTAAAAAGAAAAAAAAAAGGAAAGGAAAGGAAAGAAAAGAAAAAAGAAAGAAACCTAAGTTTAAGCCCTGGCTCTGGTTTCCACCAGATCTATGACCTTGAACATGTGGCTTTACCTTGCCGGGCCTCAGTTTCTTCATCTCTCGGATGGGGATAATAACAGCCTCCCAGGTAAGTTGTAATAGTGTTTGTGAAAGCTCTGAAAGCTCTTAATAAACCGTAAGACGTTATACAAACGACAAGCTTATCACCGCCCAAGGTCAGCCGCAAGTGCGGTCTGGGGCTTCTGGGGCTGGAGCCTCAGCTCTTCTTCCGTCAGGGATGACGCTGGGACCCTATCCCTTCACACTAGCATGGCTGTTTCCATCAACGCTGCCCTTCACAGGTGCAGTGCCTTTGCAGAGCTGTCTGTACCACGTGCCTAACTTTTCATGGCTCTTTCACAAACATCTGCTAAGTTGTCCCCACCTTGGTACTGCACAGGGTCAGGGGGCAAGAAACAGACACCAGGCTGCTCCCTGCCCCTGGCCTGGGGGATATGCCCATACATCCCGGGTACTTACAAGCCTCGGCTCATCTCCGGCCGGCGCTTCGCCTTGGCCTTGAACACAACCTGGGAGCAGAAATGCCCATCATTCCTTTGGGCCCCTCGGCCTGCCACCCCACAGCCCACCCCCACCCGTTACCATGGTTACCTGGGCAAAGTAGAGGTTCATAAGTGTCAGGGTGAAGAACTGCAGGCAGACAGGGCAGCAGTAGAGAAGCCAAAAGGGCAGGGGTCCCAGACGGTTGGCTCGGGGGGTATCTCGGAAGTAGAAGGAGAAGAGGGTGGTGCGCAAGGCAGCCCAGAGCAGACAGAGTGCCAGGAACACTGTCTGATAGCTCAGACGCTTGTGCCCATAGAGAAGCACCAGCCAGAGCTGGGCATATACCGAGAAGAAGAGCAGGGCATACAAAGTGGTGTAGGCCGCAGTCAGCCCCAGGGTCACGGCGGGAGGCAGCGCAGGAACCAGCCCAGCAGCAGGCACCAGGCCAGACAGGTTACTCTCCATGTCAGGACAGGAGGCCTGAATCCCAGAGAAAGAGATGGAGGGGCTGGCAGGGGGCCAGGTAAATAAATACGGAGGGGTGGGAGTTGCAGGGAGCAGCGACAGAGATGGGGAGCTCAGGAGAAAAGAAACTGCAGCTGGCCAGGCCCTTCCCTCTCAACAGAGAGACCCTGCCCTTGCAGCGGGACACAGGCAGCCCGAGCCCCTTACTCTGGGGCGTGGAAGGACAGACCCTCTGGAAGGCAGAGGCGGGAAGTGGGCAGGATATCCTCCCTGGGCCAGCCCCAGAGCCAGGATGAGGGGGTGCAGAGCCTGAAGGACAGGGGTCCCTGGCCTTGGTCGTTGCAGTCGTCCCGGCTGGAGGGGGAGAGCCGGCAGATATCCTTCGGCTGAAGGCAGCGGCCGCTGCGGGGGACGCTCAACGCCCAGCTCTCCCCCCACCAAACTGGGGGTCTCTCTCCCCTCCAATAATCCGGATTGGGGGTGGCCTCTGCCTTCCGTCCTCGGAATTCCGGACGACGCTGCCCCGCCCCCACCCCACCCCCCACTGCATCCACTCTCAGCCTCGAGGGCCGGGAGGTGGCCGATGCCGGGTGCTCAGGACGCCGCTGGGGGAGCCGGCTCTGGTCGCTGGGACCCGGGGCTCCGGCTCCCCAGCTCCCCGGCTCCCGCTGCTCCGCCCCCTCCTGCGCCTGCGCCTGCGCGGGCGCCGTTCGCTACGCTAAATGCGGAGGGTCTGGCCCCCACCAGCCCCGCAGGCCCGCGCCGCGCCCGGCGCGGAGCCGTTCGAGAATTGGCGCGAGGTGCGTCGGGGACAGGCGCCAGGGGTTACTAGGAGCAGCGGGAGGCCAAGACGCTGGGGCGGAACCGCATCTGGCGGGCGCCCGGGTGGGCCGTGCCCGGAGCCACCTGCCCTCGTCTGTTTGGGGGACCGCTAGTTCCCAGGTTTCTCCTCCCTATCCCCAAATCCAGATTGCCGGCGGGGGGGGCGGCAACAACTCCCCCTCACCCGCTCTCCGAAGGAAACTTCCGCCCACAGCCAAGATGGCCCCCGGGCCCCGCCCCCTGGGTTTAACCCGCAGGGCCCCGCAGTCCCGGGGAGGCACGCCCGCCCCACTCCCCGGCGGGCCGCCGTTCCCGCTCACCTGGCCGGCTGCCTGCTCCCGCGAGTCCTACGGCCACCCTCAACGGGGCCCCCTCTCCTGCGCCGGGGCAGTCATCCTGCCGGGGAGGAGGCTCCCTCGCTTATCTCGAGCTCTCCTGAGCTGGCGCGGAGAGTAGTGCCCCCGAGGCGGGCGGTACGAGGTTTCCACCGTGGGGAAGAGGGAGCGGGACTTCCCGACCCGGATACCCAGTCCACACGGAGCAGTGACAACAGCAACGACAATTTCATCCAGATGAAGCAGTGACAACAGCAACAACACCTGCATCGACGGCTGAGCTTCAACTGAAGCCTTTGCAAAGTGCTTTCACCCACAGTAATCACTCGGTTTACAAAGTTGTCTGGCTTCTAAGGGAGGTGTCATTATCTTCATTCTACAGGAGTGGAGACTAAGGCCCAGAGGGGCTGAAGGGCTTGTCAGCAGAAGCTGGTCTCCAGGTTCCAAATGGGGACCCAGAGAATCCCTCATCTGCTCCCACGCATGGCTCGGGCACAAGGAAGTCGGGAACTGAGCGGCGGGAGGCGAGACAGGGACCTAGTGGGACGACGGTGGGCAAGGGAGCCTGTCCGCCGGCGGGGGCGGAGGCTGGGCTGGGGTGGCCACGCCCCCTGGCCGGCCCTAGTGACATTTCAAGAGCTGATTGGGCCGGGTCGGTGACAGTTCCCGTTGCCCGGGCAACTGGGGCCGGGCTCCCTCGGTACTAGAGGGAGGCGGCAGGCCCGGGTCAGGGGCCTCCTCGAGATCGGGCTTGGGGTAAGACTCGTGTGCCGCCACCGAGGGCAGGTTGGGCCTGGGTCTGAGTAGGGGACTAGGACTGCTTCACAGCACCAGGGCTCCAAAAGAGGAGAGTTCGGTCCTGTTTGGACAGGCTGAACGACCTGCCTGGCTAGGATCAGTGGACAGATCTGGGCCTGGGAAGCAGGGTGAACGTGGGGTTCTAAGGTGGGAGAGAGGGAACTACAGTCATCTGCCCCTCCCTTCACCAGCCACCATTTGCCCCAGCTTGTGCCCTAACTACCTGCCATCTTGCCCCCACAGCCCAGAGCATGTTCCAGATCCCAGAGTTTGAGCCCAGTGAGCAGGAAGACTCCAGCCCTGCAGATAGGGGCCTGGGCCCCAGCCCCACAGGGGATCAACCCCCAGGCCTTGGCAAGCACCTGCAGACGGCCCCAGGCCTCCTAGGGGAAGCTGGTCACCAGCAGGGGCAGCCGGCCAGCAGCAGCCACCATGGAGGTAGGTACCCACCCCCCAACCACCTGCCTCTCCACCTTGCCCCCAACCCAGTAGCTCCCCACATCCCAGCTGCATCCCCACTAACTGGCTGGCTTCGAGTAAGTGCCTAACCTGTCTGCACTTCAGTTTCCTCTTCTGTAAAACAGAGCAATTAATCACCACCGTTGTAGGACTGTTGGGATGATACCAGAAATATATAGGAAGCACTTAATTATAGTGCCAGTGCATAGTAAATGCTCAAAGAATGTAGCTGTTAGCCTAGGACCAGCACAGAAATCACCCAGAGAGAGACGCCTGGGTGGCTCAGTCCTGCCTTGGGCTCCGGTCACGATCCCAGGGTCCTGAGATGGAGCCCTGCATCAGGCTCCCTGCTCAGCGGGAAGCCTGCTTTTCCCTCTCCCACTCCCCCTGCTTGTGTTTCCACTCTCTCTGTGTCTCTGTCAAATAAGTAAATAAAATCTAAAATATAACACTACCTTTACATAACAAGAAAGATAGATGGAGGAGAAGGGGTCTGGACACACTCAGCGAGGGGACCCAGTGCTGAGCTGAAAGAAAGTATGGACACTGGAGGAATGGCAGCCATTTCTCCCCAGTGCCCACCTCCCCAGTGCCCACCCCCGGTCTTGGCACCTGGAACAACCATAGAGATCTTCTGTAAACAAAACTCCTATCCTTAACGTCATGAAGCCAGAAAGACCACCATCCCCAGGTTCAAGAACAAGAAGGCTTATGAAGTCCTCCTCCCCAGCCCGCGCACACACACTTTGTCAGACTGAACCCCAAATACTTTCTTTAACTCCTTTAGCGTCCAGATCTTTGCACTTGGCTGCTCGCAGCTTCCCACCGGGCCTTGGCCCCCGTGGTTCCTCTTCACCTTCAGTATCAAGGGCTTCATTTGTGCCACGTGCTGCCCCAGCCGCCAGGGGGTACATTAGTGAACAAAAGAGATAAAAGTCCTTGCTCTTTGTGGTGCCTCCAGGTTCTAGTTGAGTGGGAAGAGACAGGCCACCAACAAACAAACAAATGCTGTAGTGCCGTCCTGGCGGTGCCAGAAGCATTCTTTACTTTCTCTCCAGAGTACCAGAAGGCTGGGGGAGTGACTCTGATGGAGGTGGTCAGGGTCAACCCAGCGTGGTAAGAAGCAAGGTTAGAAGGGGGTGAGAGGTGAGCCCTGCCCATATCCCCAGAAAAACAGATCCCGACTGGAAAAATATCCCAGCCTAGGGAAGGGCCAATGCAAAGGCCCTGAAGGCAGGACACAGTCTAGGTCACTGAGGGGAGGAGAGGTCGAGATGCCGCAGGGGAGATGAATGGTGGGAGGAGCATCTGGGCGGGCCGGAAGGCCTGTGCCAGGACAGAGGCTTTCACTTTGAGTGAAAACACGTGGGAGAACAGGGAGCAGAGGCAGGGCTGTCTGATATGGGATCAAGAACATCACCAGGGCCTCTGTGTTAGGACTAGTCTGCAATGGGCCAAGGCAGCCCCGTGGGGGTGCTGCAGGGGAGGCTGCTGGGAGAGTCCCAGTGAGGGAGGATGATGACTTGTGCCTGTTGGAGGCAGAGGAAATGGTACACATTTATTTTGTAGGTAGAACTGGCAGGATTTGCCAACAAACTGGGTGTGAGGTGTGCAGGAGAGAGAGGAATCAGGGAGGGCCGCAAGGCATCTGGGCTGGGCACCTGGAGGACCCTGCCATTGACTCTGATGTTGACTCTGACGGAACTACAGCCCAATCAGGAGCCTGGTGTGGGCCAAGTGAGGGGAGGGGGGCCTTCTGGGCAGCCGGTTGGAGGTTCCCAGTAGGGATAGGCCCAAGAGGGATTTATACGCCTGGGAGTTGTCAGTCCCAGAGGTAGTGTTCTCTGAGGCCTAGGCAGCCAGTGTAGACAGGCGGGGGCCTGGTCTGAGCCTGGGGCCTTGGCCTTCAGAGGGAGGCAGCAGGGAAGAAATTAGTAGCAGGATGGGAGGGAAACCAGGAGCTGGCAGGGCCCACACAGCAAGGGATTGCTTCTGGCTGGAGATCTGGGAGAGGGCCGTTGGAGTCGCCAACACATGCCGTCGCAGTTTGGGTGAGGAGATGGGGGGAAGGCTGACATCAGTTCAGAAGGGAGGGATAACGGGAAGAGAGGTGGAAACAGGGGAGCCCCCTTTGGGCAGCTGTGCTCCAGCTGTGCTCCAGCTCCAGCTGTGTTTTTTTGTTTAAGGGGAAAGAAAATAGCTTGTCTAGAAGCTGAGGGGGGTAATCCAGGAGCCAGGGAACTACCATGAGGTAGGAGAGAAGGGACACTAACTAGAGAGATGTCCTCGAGTAGGACACCAGGGTCTGGCACCGGGGGAGGGCTGGCTCAGCTAAATGCGAGACAGTGGACAGGAGTGCGTGGTTGTGAGTAGATAGGAAGTAGAAGAAGTTTCTCTCTCCGTCTCTCTCTTTTTAAGATTTTTATTTATTTGACAGAGATGTGAGAGAAGGAATACAAGCAGGGGGAATGGGAGAGGGAGAAGCAGGCTTCCCACTCAGCTGGGGGCCTGATGCGGGGCTCTATCCCAGGACCCTGGGATCAAGACTTGAGCCTCGAAGGCACACGGCTAACAACTGAGTCACTCAGGGGCCCCAGCAGAAGTTTCTCTTGTGGGTGCTGCCAGTTTCTCCAGGAAAGGGTGGGAAGAGAGCGGGTCAGTCTTGAAGTGGTCATCCATCCCCAAGCACAGAGTATGCGAGGTGGGCTGGGCAATGTCAAGGGCACCACGTTGTCAGTTTCTTTTTTTTTTTTTTTAATTATAAACTTTTTTTTTTTTCCCTAAAGATTTTGCTGTTTATTCGAGAGTGAGTGAGTGAGAGAGAGAACATGAGTGGCCAGGAAGAGCAGAGGGACAGGGAGAAGCAGATTCCCTGCTGAACAAGGAGCCTGAGTGGTACTAGATCCCAGGAACTTGGGATCATGACCTGAGCAGAAGGCAGATGCTTTTTTTTTTTAGGTTTTATTTATTTATTTATTTTCTTATTTATTTGTCAGAGACAAAGAGAGACACAGCGAGAGAGGGAACACAAGCAGGGGGAGTGGGAGATGGAGAAGCAGGCTTCCCGCTGAACAGGGAGCCAGATGTGGGTCTCGATCCCAGGACCCTGGGATTACGACCTGAGATGCTTAACTGACTGAGCCACCCAGGCACCCATGCCATGAATTTCAGTGGAGGCAACATGGCTATGCTTTTCTTCAGCCTGGGGGTCCAAGGGGCCAGCTGGGAGTTAGAGTTTAGCCAGAGCTGTGCCTGACTCAGCCCAGCTGGGGAGGGCTGCTTGAGGGTGTCTGCTCGGAGAGGCAGTGTGGGGTGTAGCCTGGCTCTGGGAGTTCTGGCATCACTAGAGTGGGCTTCCAGGGGAGGGAGCCAGCCAGGTAGAAGCTGCGAGGCTTAGGATGGAGTTCCTGAAGGTTCTCTCCAGGGGAAGAAGGGAGAGGCTGGAAAGCAGAAGGGCCACTTGGGTCCTGGGAGTGAACGAGGTCGGGACTGGAGGAAACTTCTGCACCAGTGGGTGTGTGGCCTGAGGGCGGGGGTACCTCCCCCAGCTCCAGACCCTTCCATGAGGAAGACAGCAAGGGAGAAAGTAGCCATTGACAGGAGTTCTTAAACTTTCGACTTAGTTTTATTTTTTTAATTTAAATTCAATTCATTAACATATAGTGTATTACAAGTTTCAGAGTTGGAGGTCAGTGACTCATCAGTTGCATATAACAGCGCTCATTCCCTTGCCCAGGTACCCCCTCCCCCCACCCACCTCTGGACTTAGTTTTCTTTTTTCTTTAAAGATTTTATTTATTTGATAGAGATCACAGGTAGGCAGAGAGGCAGGCAGAGAGAGAGAGGGGGAAGCAGGCTCCCTGCCGAGCAGAGAGCCCGACGCCCCGACGCTGGGCTCGATCCCAAGACCCTGAGATCATCACCTGAGCCGAAGGCAGAGGCTTTAACCCAATGAGCCACCCAGGCACCCCTGGACTTAGTTTTCAGTGCCGAAAAAGCAAATGATTTTCCCAGAAAAGATCAGCAAGGTTGGGGGGGGATTGCTCTTTGGGAGCCACAGAGCCCCCGCCCCCTCCAGGCCTGCTGAGTCCCAGTCACTCTGCACATTCCCTGACCCCTGGGCCCCGTGGGACTGGATGTGTGCATGTCCCCAGGGCAGAGACTGTGACACCTTTTGTGCTGTGACAGCCCCAGCGCATAGCCCAGGGCCCGGGACAGGTAGGTGCACTGGGAGCAGCGGGCAGTGTGTGTGGATGGTGGGGAGGGAGGGAGGATCGCCCAGTGGGGCCAGACCACAGGGTTCAAACTCCGCCCCACCCTCCCTTAGTGGGCTCAACTTGAGCAGGTGAGTTAACTGTCTGCCTCAGTTTTCTTATCTGTAAAGTGAGAATAGAAACTCATCTTCCCTTCTTATAGGGGGGATCTGATCAGTTAATATGGGAAACGCGCTGGGGCACCTGGGCGGTTCAGTCGGTTAAGTGTCTGCCTTCGGCTCAGGTCATGATCCTGGAGCCCCAGGATCCAGCCCCCTCATCCGGGCTCCCTGGTCAGCAGGGAGTCTGTTTCTCCCTCTACCTGTCACCGTGCCGTGCCGTGTTCTCTCTCACTCTCTCTGTCTCTCTCTCAAATAAAATCTTCAAAAGAAAAAGAAAAAGCTTCTCAAAAAAAAAAAAAAAATAGAGGAAAAGTGCTTAGAAACAGTGCCTGCGGGCGCCTGGGTGGCTCAGTGGGTTAAACCTCTGCCTTTGGCTCGGGTCCTGATCCTAGGGTCCTAGGATCCAGCCCCACATCGGCTCTCTGCTTAGCTGGGAGGCTCCTTCCCCCTCTCTCTCTGCCTGCCTATCTGCTTGTGATCTCTCTCTTTCCTCTGTCAAGTAAATAAATAAAAATCTTATTAAAAAAAAAAAGAAAGAAAAAAGAGACAGTGTGTTCCTCTGGCACAGAGGAAGCTTTGCTGTTCTTACTAGACTGCAACAATT